GCTCTCTTGTTGGTTCGTTGTGAACATACTTATGATGACTGTTTTTACGACATCCGTATAATTTCTTGTTTATGTTACCTTGTAAAGGATGTTACGGAAATTTTGGTTATTATTCTTAAAACTACGCACCTATGCTTCTAATCTATTTTATTTCTTATTTATGGCTCTCCCTCAGCGATTTGGGCCAGGCACCTATGCTTAAAACTTACCATTCATCTACCAGATAAGAGGGTTATATCTTTCGCGTATTTTTCTATGTATATGGGATTGTATTCTTGTAAATACCATTGTTACATTACTACATGTTAACTTAGAAGTAGAAATGTATCATGTTTTGTAGAGATCTTAATTTATTATGTAGTGTTAAAGTGCCTTTAACATGCACATTGTGGAATTGCTTACTTGTTTATGTGCACATTTGTATTATTTATACGCGAGGAAAGAAATTCTAATACACTCTATGGCTCTTAAACGATATCACAACCGTTATTCATACTTTAGGTTATTTTAGTGGCTATAAATATTTCTACGCTTCGAATATTAGAATTATGATTTAGTTCCGAAATGATATCGTAAACAAATACTTAAATATGTCGCAATAAGAAGAAGAAATCAATTTAAATTTCCCATAATTAGAACACGAGCACCGCCAAGCGACTTTCGAGAGAACTTAGATCATTCTGAAAATAGGGATCGTTGCGAGAACATTGTTTGAACGACATGAGCTTGGTGGATCGATGATATTCAGACTTAGGAGCATTGTGAATGTATTCCTTGAATCCGACTTTACTCATGACCGCCTACACATGGTATCGAGTAGTAATAATTCTGATATCGTAGCTCAAGCCTACAAATAAATATTTTTAATAAGATGAGAGCGAACCAAGGACTATTAGTTTACTTGCATTTTCCTGATCTTAGTTTTTAAACAATCTCAATATTATTTGGATCAGTATTAAGGATCGGATAAAGAATAGCAAAAAGTACGAAATGGAATTTCTTGTTTTTCCAAACTTCTGTCATCGTAATTCCAACGCTATTGCATTTACACATTTGCATAATATAATGAGGTGTTTGTTTTTTTGGGCCTGAGTTAAAAGTGAAAATTTTACGTTACGTAACCGACGTAAATACAAGTTACAGTCATGCGGTGGCCAGAATATAAAATTATAAATTGTTATTTCATATAAAAATCACTGAAGTTTTTAAATGAGTTTTAAAACCATTTTATTCCTGATGATTCATAAGTAACCCCATTTTGAAAAAGATTCTGTTTAAGTCATAACCTTTCGGAGATTGGACTTTGGGTTGGAGTGTATCAGACGAGACATTTAACTATGCTCAACAAAAAAAAATCAGACGAATTTACGAAGTTAAAAATGGAATTAACAAGATGCATTAATTATTTTCAATGATCTGAGTGAGGTTTTTTATTTCCGTTTTGTTAACGAATTGACTGGCAACATCGACAGCTGTCATTGCAAAGAAATG